TTTTTTTTTTGCGAGAACGATATCTGAAATGTTTAGATCAAGCTCCTATCTCAAGAAATAAAATTTTGTATATTGTATATATTTTATTTGGTTGTCAATATAGTTTGTGGTGTTTAACATAGTATTGCATATACATATATTAGATTACTATCATAGAATATTATCGTATACATCCGATAGTGGTTCGCATATTGATCTTGTGCTACAAACTCTAAAATATTCTTTCACAACCGATACACAGCCTTAAGAAAAAAAATAAAATTATATTTAATCTACGTATTCTACGTAATCTACGTATCAAATATTCAACATGAAGCAATATTAGTGTTAAACATCAATTTATACCGTGTACTTATAGGTTTGTCATCGATTGAATTGTTATAAACAACATTATAACAAAGATACTCTTTTCTTAATGTATAGTTCCTTTTATACATTTTTTACACAGATAACACTAAGAACGTAGAAGCGTTACGAGTTTGAATAAGTTTTATGAGTTAACGCGTGATTGCATTGATGTTGAAAGAGACAACAAACATGGACGTGTGTAACGTGGTAGTTGAAACATTTAATTTAATTCGACACGATTATCTAAATAGAATCCTTCTTGTAAACAGCGTTAAAACAAGTCTAGAATATGCAAAGAATTAATTGATGATTTGTGTTATAAATTCATTATTGATTCCAATAATAAAACGTAAGTGAGCAATCTTCAATTTTAATTTCATGCCCCATTTTCGCCAGACAAATGTTCACGAATACATGAAAGACGATTTACGAGAGAAAGAGAGAGAGAGAGAGAGAGAAAGAAAGAAAAAAGTATGACAAGACTCTGTTTTAATTGAGCCACGAATTGAAAGGGAAAGACGTTCAGTGGGATAAATAAAATTGTTCAATTCCCTCGAGGCAACGTAGTCGCAGTGGACTAAAAATTTAATAAACGTCTGTCGGAACCCGGCGGAAAATACGCAACATTTTTGCACCGAGAATTTCCTCGTTTCTTTTCCCAAATTTACATCGGGATTTACATCGTCGCTTAAAATTAGAACGTTTTGACGGAATTTAATTATAATGTACATTGTTTCAATTACACAGCTCTGCCTCTGCATGCATTTAAGAATACCACGTTCAATATTCGTTCTGTTAAAACGGAACGTTCAGAATAAAGATGGAGAGAACGAATTCAAACCACCATCGCTGAATGTATAATAATATTAAAAAATTCTCGAATAAATCGGATTGAAAATAGAAAAGAAGAACATGGGAATTCTAGCCGATTTAGAAATTGAATACCGTTTCTGTAGTTTATTTATACGTTGCAAATTCAGCTGTTCGAATCGTCAGTCAGCTAAAAACCGCGGATGAGAAATTA